AATAGTTATATTTTTAGCTATATTGTTGTTCTTGATAATTGGAAAAGTAGGTTATCATTTATAAAGGTCCCCCTTAGGTTATTATTTATATTAAAAATGTATACTTAATATTTATTAGCAGAAAGGAGTCTACTAGCACACTCTATTCACATATGCATTTTTTCTCCCCTTTACTTAACTTTTTCTCATTCACCTGAAACCATTATTTCACCTAATTCTATTTCTCAACTATTGCAAATTGTGCGTTTTGTTCATCAGCACTTACTTGTTGAGAAAATGTTCATCATTCAAGAGCACAGTAGTGATAAAAAATGATAACACAAAAAGTAATACTTTCTGCTATAAGTATGAAGAAAATTAAACATGTTGTATATAGCCATTACTCATTTTGAATGCTGCAAAGGTTTGTCCACACAAACTTGAACATACAAACTCTTTCCAAGGCATTACAATAAACACTGCTCTATCCCCTACCAGCTGAGCAGAGAAGTCAGTGCTTATCAAATCTGACACATGCAGATGTACATGTACACAAATACAGACCCTAACTATAAACATAAAAATAAAGTACATGATTCAAATAAATCTCAAGCAGTAGTAAAGTGGTATTTACTTCAGTTGGCAGCTTCAGGCTTCTTGGCAATGCACCAGAGGTTGCATTCTATTTTCATTCTGTCAATATTTACTATCCAGGAAAAAATGTTTTGAATGGTAAATAAGTAGTTTGATCTGCCATCAATAATAACAGTAAGAATAATTAGATAATTTTCTTCTGTTACGTTCCGCTTGAACTTTATTGTCGGTAATTTATTACAGCACAGCTAGTAGAGCAAGGGAGAGAGGGTTAAGTCAGACTCACAAAACCACTCATATTCCAAATATCAGACATTTTATGGAATTTATTATATATTAACTGACTCATTAATCAATGTGGTTTTGAAGCTACTTTCTTTTTCTCCCCACTTTCACTCAGTTAAATTTTATATATTTATAAAATGAACATTGTATGTATGATTTAAATGCATGAATTAGAAAAGGATGGTTAAATAAACAATTTATGGAAGCAAAGGTAATTCTGGTTCCCCCCATGATGCAATCTTCATTACTTAAATTAAAAACTTATTTTATTTCCCAATTTGCTGTCAGCCAAGGCTGATAAACAAGGGACTATTATATAGTTACATTAAATGGAAGACCAGAACTTGACCTGAGGACTCTGCATTCATGGACAATAACGTTCTATTTTATATCACATAAAAATGGTAAGTAGTGGAGTGAACACTATGAAAAACAGTTTTATAGATAAAAAATGGTTTTCAAATAGTCCTTCCTTATATTATATTTAATAAAACACTCACCTGCAAAGTTTGACAGTAAGATAGCTTTGGAGGAAATTAAGATGACAGTCCTGATATATAGCACCCTATGGGTCTTACAAGGGTAAGTTTAAAGAAAACAGAAACCTCGTAACCTGTATTGTTTTGTTTGGGGGGAAGGCATACCCAGTACGCAGTGCTCAGGGATCACTCGGTAGGTTCGTAAGGTAAAAGTGTTGCTGGGGGTCCAACCTGAGTCAGTGCATGCAAGGTAGGCACCTTACCCACTGTCCTATCTCTTTGGCCCTTAGCCTGTCATTTTAAATTGTAACATATCAATCGTAGATTTTTCAAATATGTAAATGATGATTTCTGTTCTGTTTATTTGGGGATTTGTTTGTTTGGGGGGTCAAACCTGATGGTGCTAAAGATTTACTCCTGGCTCTGCACTCAGAGGTTTGGGGGGTCATATGGGGTGGTGGGGATCAAACCCTGACAGTTGTGTGCTGGACAAGCACCTTACTCACTGTACTCTCTGGCCTCTGTGCTGTTGATTGATGACAGTTCTAAAGTTTTGACATGAGTATGAGAGGGAATGTTACTAAGTAAAATTTAGATGAGAAACCTTAATGATTTTTGCAAAATACTAATCTTGGTACTTTGTTACCACAATCAAAGTGATTTGTCCTCTTTAAGAGAGGGATTTAGCTTACCCACTATGAATACTGACACTAATATCATTTGTTTGGTTGTTGTTTTAAAAGTGCAATATGTTGTTTATTTTTTATTTTTATGTTTATTTACTTATTTATTTTAATGAATTTTATTTTAACTATATCTCACTGTGAGATACAGTTACAGACTTACAAATTTTCATGATTACGTTTCAAACAGTGATTGAGTACCATCCCTCCACCAGTGCCCATTCTTCACCACTAATGTTCCCAGTATCCCTCCCACCACCCCCTCCCCATCTCTCCCTGCCTCTGTGGCAGGCACATTCCCTTTTACTCTCTCTCTCCTTTCGGGTGTTAAGTGTTGTTTAAGGTGCATTGTTAGCATTGGACTACTATGCGTCTGCACGAAGGATGGATTCATGCAATTTGCTGCAACGTGGTTAAAACTGGAAGATACATTGAGTGAAGTAAGCTGGAAGAAGAAAGAAAGATGAACACAGGATGATCTCACTGATCAGTAGAATACAGAATACTGGATGAGGAAATATAGCACTGTCTGTAGCACTGTCCTCCCATTGTTCATCGATTTGCTTGAGTGGGCACCAGTAACCTTGCCATTGTGAGACTGTCTTTGTTACTGTTTTTGCCTTATCAAATACACCACGGATAGCTTGACAGGCTTTGCCGTGCAGGTGGGATACTCTGGGTAGGTTGCTGGGCTCTCTGAGAGGGATGGAGGAATCGAACCTGGGTTGGCCGCATGCAAGGCAAACGCCCTACCCGCTGTGCTATTACTGCACCCATGAGGAAATATCACGATCACGATCACGATCACGACCACCCTGTTGTTCGTCGATTGCCTCGAGCAGGTGCCAGTAACATCTTCTTCGTCCTAGCCCTGAGATTTTTTTTTTTTAGTGCCATATTCAAGGCTTTTTCAGGGTTAGGAGAATGAGACCCACCACTGTTACTGGTATTTGGCATATTGGGTATACCACAGGGAGTTTGCCAGACTCTGCCGTGTGGGCAGGTTACATTTGGTAGCCTGCCAGTTTGTCCAAAGTAGGAATGAGATGATAAGATGTCGCGTGGCCGCAAATTCGGCCGCGCGCTTCCAGGAACTGAGTGTGATAATCTCTGGATCCTGGCCGTTGTTGGAGTTACACGGCAGTTGGTGGGTGTAACTGTCTAGTTACTGGCAGATCCAGTCCCAAACCGTGCAGGCTTGGAGATCTCAGCCCCGGGTCCCACACACCTGGGTTCCTCTGCCAGTTCTTTTATGCGTGAGGCTCATCCAAGTGTGTGGAGAGTGGTCCCAGCATGGCCTTGGCTGGGCCCCGGTGGTCTTCAGCTGTTCGGCCCTGGTGGAGACAGTCAGGCACAGGGTAGGAGACTGTCATATACTGTCATAAAATGGGGTTACTTAGATCATCCTTGACCCAGTGTTTATAGAGGAGACTGAGAAGGAAAGAAATTTGGGTATTAGAGGAGAAGAAAAAAAGAAGTAATGGGTTAATAGACATCAGGACTTCTGTTATACCAGTGATGAGTGAAGGGTATAGCCACATACCCCAAACACAGATTCAACAGAACTGAAAACATGAGATTTAAGTGATGAGCACTGGAACTTTGTAATGTGCCTGTCATGTTTACAGGTAGGAATGGAGTGGGGGTTGGGATAGGGAAGAATTCTGGAAATACTGGTGGAGGGAAGTTGACAATGATGGAAGGAAGGATGCCTAAAATGCAAACATCCATAACTCTTTAAAGCATGACTCTTTAATTTAAAAAAAATTAAAATAAGATTGTGTGTATGCTAAGCATTGAGTCTTCATCAATATTTCTCTTGTCACACAAAGACCAATTAGCTCCAAGTTAGATTCAGAGAAATCTTGAAATTAGAAAACACTTTTCAATGCTGGAATGCAGTGATAGGCAACTCACTGTTAACTAGACAGCCTGCCTCACAGGGTTATCATAACCTGTCTTTGCCCTCCAAAACAGCACTGGAGCAACTAAATAAAGAAGAGATTTATTAGTTTGAAAACAAAATGAGTTGTGCAGGATGTCCACCGGCACAAGCTAGAGAACAAGCTTGGAGAGAAAGAGTAGGGGCCAGGTTTTATTCCCAGCAGAGACCGTGTGGCTCAATGGCTTGAAAATATTCTAATAGCTTTTCAGGAAATTTATGCGTAGTCATGAGGGAGAATGATGAGAATGAGTTTGAGGAATGTCAGTAGATATGAACTGCATGTAGAAATGTCCGGGAGGGTATGTTGCCTAGTATGGTTATTACTAGAGCAACTGCATGACTAAGAGGAGTCTACTTATAGATCCTACCAACTGATACAGACCAGGGCCCTGAGGTCTTCATCAGTAAGTACAAATGTATTCTTAAGATTCTATCTTGGTCCATTCCTAGTCAAAAGAATGCAATGAGGTGGCTTCTCTCAAACAGATGTTGTCATGTCTTCTAAAGGACAAGCCTTAGGCCAATCTGTTTCAGCTTTTCCTAACTCCAGTGAAATCATTTAAGTTTTCAGGAAGCAGAATATGAAGAGAAAGATAAAGTTGAAAAAGTTTTGACTTTTGTATATAGTGCTCCTCCGAAAAATTTATTCCTATCTAACATCTTAATCCAATTCTTCCTTCTGCTCTCTGTTACATACTATTCTGTTAGAATATATACAATATATAGTAAAATATATTTTTTATTTCTTTATTCATTGTTACTTTACAATACCCTTTTTATAAGAGTTCCCTCATTGTTAAAAGTGAAACTGCCCTTGTTCCTTTTACATATGTAGCGTTCGCCTTACACGCGGCCAATATGGCCGACCCGAGTTCGATTCCTCCGCCCCTCTCGGAGAGCCCGGCAAGCTACCGAGAGTATTCGATATGCCAGACACAGTAACAACAAAGTCTCCAATGGAGACGTTACTGGGCCCGCTCAAGCAAATCGACGATCAATGGGAGGGCCTTTACTTTACTTACTTTACTTTTATAAATGAATATGGAATATTTCATGAATTTGTGTGTTATCCCTGTGGAGGGGCCATGCTTATCTTCTCTGGATTGTGCCATATTAGTATTTGTACTGCTAAAGCACTGTAGCACTGTAGCACTGTCATCCCGTTGTTCCTCAATTTTGCTCGAGTGGGCACCAGTAACGTCTCCATTGTGAGACTTGTTGTTACTATTTTTGGCATATCAGATACGCCATGGGTAGTTTGCCAGGCTCTGTCATGCAGGTGGGATACTCTCGGTAGCTTCCTGGGCTCTCCGAGAGGGATGGAGGAAATTGAACCCGGGTCGGCCACATGCAAGGCAAAAGCCCTATTCAGTATGCTATTGCTCCAGCCCACTGCTAAAGTAGGCACACACACACACACACACACACACACACACACACAAACTCATTTTAAAATGCAGCTCACATATAGAACGGACCGCCAAGTAAAGGGTGCTTGGAGGGCCTACTTAAGATGGGCGATACATGCTGAAAGTAGAATGTAGTCCGAACATGATGGCCACAAAATATCTGCATTGCAAACCACAACACCCTAAGGGAGAGAGAGAGTAAAAGGGAATGTGCCTGCCGCCGAGGGAGGGGGATGGGAGGAGGGATACTGGGACCATTGGTAGTGGAGAATGGGCACTGGTGGAGGGATGTGTACTCAATCATTGTATGACTGAAACATAAGCACGAAAGGTTGTAAGTCTGTAACTGATGGTGATTCGTTAAAAAAATTAAAAACTTTTTTAAATTATAAAATAAAACATTCATCACGACCATCCTATTGTTCGTCGATTGACTCGAGCAGGCCCCAGTAACGTCTCCTTCATCCTAGCCCTGAGATTTTTTTAAAAGTGCCATATTCAAGGCTCTTTCAGGGTTAGGAGAATGAGACCCCATCATTGTTACTGGTATTTGGCATATTGGGTACACCACAGGGAGTTTGCCAGACTCTGCCGTGTGGGCAGTTACATTCAGTAGCCTTCCATTTTTTCCAAAGTAAGAATGAGATAATAAGATAAAAATAAAACATTACTGAAGTTTTAATTATGAAGTGATCAGAAGTTCGTCTCCTCCCATAGTGATTTGTAGTGCACGTGTAGCATTTCAGCACAGAAATGCTACTACTGTTTATCGTGGCATAAGTAGTGCATAATGATATTTTTTTCTTTTGACCTAACATTTTTTCGTCCCTCTTGGAAGGGGGAAAGCTTAACACATATGCATTGCAGGGCTACCTGGAGTGGGAAAGGATAGGTACTCTACACACTTTCACCACTTCCTAAGCTAAGACTTGTTGTGTTTTATATCCCAACCAAAAGCTTTTGACTCATAACCTAAATACCCTGGCTTAAACAGGGTAACTGGTTTTCTAAGATTCTCTTCTTTAACACTTTAAACTCAACACAAAATATCTTGGTAGCAGTAAATGTCACAGTAGGAAGACAATTTGAGAGGACACTGTGAAACTGATGACTATGATAAACTGAACATTTAATGTAAAGAGAATAATGAGTATGTGCAAAGAATATAGACTGGCGGTAGATCACCAAGTTCTGAGGAATGGGAGAAAGTCACTTGGATTGTTGATGATCTTGTTTCTACAAAGCCAAGTTACAGTTGTTTCAGTTCTGTTTTGTTTTGTTTTTGGAGAGAGCCACACATGGCTATGCTCTTGACTCATGGCTCTATACTCAGCGATAACTCCCGGCCATGCTCAGGGGACCGTATAGATGTTGAACACAGGTGGGCTGCATGCAAGACAAGTGCCCTACATGTTGTACTATCTGTCTGGCTCCTGTTTCTAAGTTTTGACCGGGTGAGAGCTTTATATCCTCCCACCTTTTCTTCATCCAATCTGACTGAAGAGGAATGAAATACAAACACCCTAAATTTACAGATAGAGATTTTAAGCTACTCAATAAGATTCCAGGTAATTGTTTTTGTTTGTTTTGTGTCGCACATCATTTTGTTTTGTCTTGGCACTGTTCAGGAGCTATTCCTGGCTCAGTGCCTCGGAAAAGTGCTTGGAGAACAAAGGGGTGCCAATGATTGAACCCAGCCCTTTCAGATGTCTTTCCTGTCAGCCTTTTGAGTTATCTTTAAAGCCCTAGATTGGAAGTAACTTTATGAACATTGAGGTAGCCATATGTTACACTGGCAACTGAAATTACTCCATCTGAATTCCATTTTATGTGTGTCAATTTCAACAACAGTTTTTTTGTTTTTGTTTGGTTTTGGGGTCACATCCGACTGTGTTCAGGGCTTAATCCTGGCTTTGTTATCAAGGGTCACTCCTGGTGGGCTTGGAGGACCATATGGGGTGCTGTAGAATCAAACCTGAGTCAATTATGTGCAAGGCAAGTGCCCTGCCCACTGTGCTATCTCTCCAGCCTCAGTATAATAGACTATTTTATATGCTTTTATCATTGAAAAAGCAGATAGGAGGTAAAAGAGATTTACATTGGCAGAATATGTGGCTCATAGTGAAAGTATATGCATATAAATAATTAATTTTCTTTAGCACTGTCAATCATCATTAGGGGCTTGACTGTTCCATGGTAAGATGCTGGCTTAACATACAACATTTCTTACTTTCATACAATATTAAGAGTTGAGACTGATGTGTGACAGTCCCACTTCACATAAACACAGTAGACCACATAGTTTTTGGAAACCAACAAGGGTATTCTTCTTCACATATATCTATCTAATCTTTGTGTTGGAATTCTAATAGGACAAATTGTGTCAAGTTGTGGGTCAGTGAGGACAAAAGAAGAGAAAGTGTGTATTTTCTAAAGCACACAATTTCACATCCTACAGAGTGTATACATTTTTAAGGTCCTTCTTCATTCTATTACAATCTTTCCACAAGTCATTCTGATATATGGCACAATGTTCTGGACACCAGTTATTTGGAAAAATAGTATAAAACAAATTGTATTCATCATTTTACATTCCCATGAGCTATTAGAAATTTTATCTGGCAATTAACATTTATTCAGTTCATAAAATACATTCATCACTCAGGCCCCAAGGTTTGCTATACCCACAAATACACATAAATACAAGAACTGGAAAACAAATATTTAGTCCCCAAATTCTCATTTATTCCATGTCAAAAAGAAGCTTTATATTGGTAACTAGAGTGAGAACAAAGAATAGAAATAGAAACGATAAGAACATGACAGCTAAAGTGATTTCTAACAAGCAGGGGGAAATGGCAGAAATGGCATTCAGTGAAATCAAAGTAAAAAGGAGAGCGAAATGAGTCAGAGAAATAATCTCTGCTTAGAATTTGAAAATTAAAATACTGCTTTGAATAGAATAGATATGATTTCCAATTGAACAATAACACGAAATCCAGGGGCTTTCAAAAATAAATAAAAGGTAATCATGGTGAAGAATAAAGATAAGTGCATCTTCTCATTTACATCAGTAGACTATGGTTACAGTGTCACTTGCTTATTAAAATGGATGGTTAACCAGGCTGAAAGGAGCAAAATGAAATGGATCATAAGGTTGCTCATCTTGATACTATGTTCTCTCAATGAAAATGTATTTTAAATTAAGATATAATAAGCAAGATGAAATCCCAACACTGTCTGCGTGCACATAGAACAAAGGGATTTTGTTTTAGGCAACAGTTCATTATTTGTGGGCAAAATGAGTTATTCCGGAAGTGACCAATCATTATAATTGAAGGACCTCTTAGAATAACTCTGTATATCTCTCTCAAAGACAAGTCCTGACTGTATAAGTGTTTACTATTTTTTCCAGGTAATTACAGTACTGATTCATTGTATATGACGAATTCCACTGTGAAGCTTCCTTATTTGTGTACATAAGAGAAGCCTTATCAGCAATGCATTTTTATATTGATGAACAATTTTTTTTAATTTTTTTTTTTACAGTTGTAGATTTACAATTTTTTGTGCTTGGGTTTCGATTATACAATGATCAGATACCCATCCCTCCACCAGTGCCCATTTTCCACCACCATGGATAATATCCCCCCACCCCCATCCCCCCATACCCACTGTCTCTGTGGCAGGGCAATCCCCTGTGTCTCTCTCTCCTTTTGGGTGTTGTGGTCTGCAAAAGAGGCATTGAGTGGCAAACATGTTCAGTCCATAGTCTACTTTCGACATGCATCTCCCCTCCTGGGAGGATTCTCCAAACATCCTTTATTTGGTGCTCCCTTCTCTATCTGAGCTGCCCTTTCCTCTAGGATACCCGGCTGGCCTCTAAGTTATGGAGTAATCCTCCTGGTGCTGATCTCAGCTATTCTTGGGTATTAATCTCATATTTTGTTACTTTATGTCCCCCAGATGAATGCAATCTTTCTATGTCTATCCCTCTCTTTCTGACTCATTTCGCTTAGCATGATACTTTCCATATTGTACCACTTGTATGTAAATTTCATGACTTCATCTTTTCTAACAGCTACATAGTACTCCATTGTGTAGATGCATCAAAGTTTCTTTAACCAGTCATCTGTTCTTGGGCATTCAGGTTTCTTCCAGTTTCTGGCTATTGTAAAGAGTGCTGCAATGAACAAACAAGAGCAGATGTCACTTCGACTATACATTTTTGCCTCTCTGGGATATATTCCCAGGAGTGGTATTGCTGGGTCAAATGGGAGCTCAATTTCTAATTTTTTGACAATCGTCCATACTGTTTTCCAGAAGGGCTGAACCAGTCGACATTCCCACCAACAGTGAAGGAGTGTCCCTTTCTCGCCACATCCACGCCAGCATCGTGCTTTTGTTCTTATGAATGTGGGCCAGTCTCTGAGGTGTGAGATGGAATCTCATTGTGGTTTTGATCTGCATCTCCCTGATGATTAATGATGTAGAGCATTTTCTCATGTGCTTTTTTGCCATTCGCATTTCTTCTTTGAGAAAGTTTCTGTTCATTTCATTGCCCCATTTTTGGATGGGGTTGGATGTGTGGAGTTTAACCAGTATTTTGTATATCCTGGATATCAAACCCTTGTCAGATGTATATTCGGCGAATATCCTTTCCCATTCTGTAGACTGTCTTTGTATTTTGGTCACTGTTTCTTTGGAGGTGCAGAAGCTTCTTAGTTT